CTAGAGATGAGACTAGTAACCAATAAACACTGTTACTGTACCTACCAGCTATATAACCAATCATTTTTTAATACAATTATGTGATAAGAATCTACATATATACAGATGTAATAGGGAAATTAATAGGGACATAGGCATGGTGAAGGTTGATCATAATATATGATTTAATTACTTGACCCCCAATTAATAAATAACATTAATTAGGCTTTCATTGTGATTTGGACTGCACAATATAAAATAGCAATGAAAATTCCACCACCAAACGTCGTCGTTGTGATTAGTGATCTCAGGCCTTGAATGTTGTTGAGAAATGACAAGTGCCTGTATTCTTCTTTTTCCCATTACTTACAGAATTCTATATAAATTCAACATAGTTAACCACATCCATTATAAATTAAGTTTGGAATTTCGTTATTTTATTGAGTTCAACAGTACATCTCATGTTAGGCAAACTTAACCATTAAATCAACATACTCAATTTACAAATATATAGATTTTTATAGTAAAATGTCATATTCTATAAAAATAATTTAAATATAAAATATTTAATAGTATAAATATGTAGTTTAGCTCGGTGGGTAATTAACTTGTCTAATTTTATGCTACATAGCCAGAAATTTGTGTAATTTCAAATATAGGCACACTTTTCTTAGAAAAAAAAAAAGATAATCCATGTCTAGTATTGACGAATTATTAACTTATTACATAGGCACCTTAATTAGGATATGATTTTTTTCTTTCGTCTACTCATATGTCAGATCGGGTAGGGGCCCCGTCTCGGAGATTTTATTTTCTTTTTTATTTTCCGGAGTGAAAAAACGGGAATTCAACTCAACACACGATTAAATTTCAAATCGATTTTTGTTTATTTATTTATATATTTATGTAGTAAGTTAAAAAATTTATATTATTTAAAACTTTATGTAATATTATTTGAATTGTATTTTTAACTATAAGAAATTATCGAAAATGCTAAGGAGCCATCCGATGGTTCCTTTATAGAGCCATCGGACCCATGCGGCATCACATGGGACAAAAATTTTGTCCCATGTGATGCCGCATGGGTCCGATGGCTCTATAAAGGAACCATCGGATGGCTCCTTAGCATTTTTTAAGAAGCTATTTATATCATAATAAATATAAACATCAATACGAACAATTCAATGCTTCTTAGTTCTCTTTACAATCGGCTCGTTTATCAACATTAACAAGCTGAGTTGGAGCCTTAACGAATTAAAATCGAGCCGAATTATAGAAAAATACATAAATAAAAAATAAAAAAAAATCCAGCCTTATCGAGCTGAGTCAAGCTCGGCTCATTAACTGAACGAACTTTAAATTAGCTCGAGCTTAGTTCGTGTATCAAATGAGTCGGTGCTCGTGATTATTTACTTAGCGACTTAAGGGTATAATGGTCTTTTTGTTGTTGTAGCCGTGTCCAATCCATATTACCAGTTTCCCATTGAATAAATCTAAGTGCTCGTCGGCATAAAAATTAACCTAATCCGACCTAATTTGTGGTTGGACCATAACAAAGTGAAATTAAGCATCTCTTACAATCTCACATCTGACGAAATCAAAACACAGCTTTTGTTCATTTGGCATATTTCATCACGTGCTTCAATTATGGGCTATATGGCTTAGGTAAGAGACAATTTTTCCAAACTCCCCTTCCTAAGTACGGTGAGGCCCTTATGGTTCATAATTATGAGTCATTTACAAGCCTCATAAATGGTACTTTCACAATAAATAGATCAACAAGCCAACAATTCTAAATTTTTTTTCATGGCTTTTCAATTTGAAGTATTCAATAAAATATTCAAAAAAAACGATATGAGTTATTCGATTTATTTACTACTAAGATTTATTTGTACTTTTGAGGAGTTTTCTGAAACGAAACACATATATTAAAGCACACCCCTAGTATGATTTTTATGGATTTCATAAAACTCAATAAATCTTAAAAAAAATCTTATAGATTTTAAAAGTCTTAAAAATATCACTTGAAATCTCAAATGAATACACTCTTCTAATTTAATTTCATATGCCATTAAGTTATACTAGTACAGTACCCGTGTATTACACGGATGTTGAACTAGAAATCTTTTGTGAAAAATATTAAATTTTTTATTTTTTTAAAAAACTAAAATAATTTAATTTTATACAAAACATTACTTTGGGTTTTAATTAAATTATCAAATTATATTTTTTAATCATAATAATTAAACACCCGTACATTAAATGAAAATGTCAACCCGTATTGAATTTTTTTACTTATATCATATAAAAATATCGATATTATTTACTATTACATAAGTACAATAATATATATCTTAAATAAATAGAAATAATATGGTGATATGTATGTGCATAAGTGTAGAATACGTTTATTTAATATTAAACAAAATAGATTATCATTTTTACTTAATCAAATGAAAATGTCAGCCCGTGTTGAATTTTTTTACTTCTATCATATAAAAATATCGATATTATTTACTATTACATAAGTTCAAAAATATATATCTTAAATAAATAGAAATAATATGGTGATATGTATATGCATAAGTGTAGAATATGTTTATTTAATATTAAACAAAATAGATTAATTTTTTACTTAATTAGATGGAAAAATATGAACAAAATATCTAAAACGACATTTATTTTATCGATGATCTATTAAGCCAAAGTGAGAAATAATAAAAATAGGAGGGAGTATATATTATTATATATTTTAGTATGACACATGTTACTTGTGCGACTTATATGTGTTATATTATAATAAATTTTCTACCTTATAACATATAACTACAATAAACATAAATATATTAATTGCTAATAATTTCAATTTCTAATTAATTTTAATAAATAATTTTTTTATTATTATAAAAATAAATATAATTTATTTATATATACAATATGGATGTCAAATCGAAGCTCATCAAAAGATGATTAATTTGATATATTTTATATGTAAAACCGATAAGAAATACAAAAGTTATCAACTTTTAAATATATTATTCATTCAATGGTTATAATAGAAAACGATATTAAATACAATCAATATAAATATTAATTTATATCCAAGTCTAACTCCAAAGCATGATTTTTTGCCAAATAGAATTCTGAAGCATGAAAATTTGCCACGTAGGCTCAGCGCATTCTGAAATTATATATAGAGGGGATTGTTATTTAACAAGTAATAATAATATAATAGATTTAAATAAATTTTTGGCTGAATTAATATTTATTTATAGAATTATATTATTGTCAGTAATAATGAAGAGTATTTTGATAAAGTTCTTTTTGGTGTAAAATTTAAAGTTAAATTGTTGGAGATGCTTTTGAAATTTGGTGCGTGCAAACTATTGGAGACACGTCTACCTAAAATCGCATAATCATATTCTTATGTGAAAAGAAATTCAAAGGTGACACATTTTATTTTAAAAAAAAAAAAATTACATAAAATAGGTTACATAGCCCAATAGGAGTACCCGAATGAGATATAATATGTAAACTTCCAACATTTTCATGCGGCCCAATAAGAACCAGGGCCCAACAGAAATGCATGAAGCACAAACAAAAAATATTTTGCACACCATATAATTTCACCCTTCACAGTTTGCACACTTAAGTGCCAAACTTTTAAACCTTACTACAGCACCAAATGGCAAAAACACAAGGCAAAAACTTTGAAAAAAAAAAAAAATTGTATCTTTGCAGTTCAAATCTCATCTCCTCGCAGTATATTTCCCACAAAAACGGGAAAAAAAGGAGACGTAAAGTTAGTAACGCCGGAAGGTCTCACGAGCCGTCACTGGACAAAAAATCGGACATTCCAATGAACAAAGTTTTTCTGAATAAGTGATGGACAGTTTACTAGGATTTGCTTTGTCTGTAAGACACATGAGGTATAAGCTCCTGCAGAAAAAAAAAATCAACATAATGTTGATATTGTGTTACTATCCTTTTGAGGTTCCATCTAATTGCAAGGAAAAAATAAAACTACCATCAAAATTGCAAGCAACTCAAACTCAGAAAGACAGTAACAACAAACCGAAAAATTAAATTGCAATTTTAATCATGTATGTTATCAACCATAACTTTCTGGTCCCCTTCGAATTGTTGGTTTTGACATTCGTCCCGTATGTTTGTAATAAGGTTACAAAAAGGTTCCCCTTCGAATTTGCAAAAAGGTTGCAATTTCATCCCTTATTTATGCTCCAACCTTTACATAACTTTTTTTTACACGAAAATCAAAACAGCAATTCGTTCCGAGAACGAAGAAGTTAGACCTGTATGTTATCAACCATAACTTTTTGGTCTCCTTCGAATTGTTGTTATGAATTTCGTCTCTTGTAATAATGTTACAAAAAGGTCCCCCTTCAAATTTGCAAAAAAAAATTGCAATTTCGTCCCTTATTTACGCTCGGTGACCTTTCTATAACCTTTTTTTGCAAATATAATGAACGAAAATCAAAACAACAATTCGATAGCGAAACATACAGGACTAAAATTGCAACATTCATGGGAATAATTGAAAATAAATGTTACCTCCAAGTGACGCGCGTGATGATCGTGCCGCAAGTTCGAGCTCTTGACGATATTCTCCCATTTCGCATCATCACCACCTCTCGACGAGCCCTTCAGCTCACCACTATTCCTTCTCGACTGTCCAAACGACGGCAAAGTCCGCCACAACCAAGACTCGGACGGCGATTTCGGCAGAGGCGGATGCAGAGGCGATGCCTTGACCGACGTAACATCCATTTTCACCTCATCATAATCCGTATATTTCGAACCGACCCTTCTCTCGACAACTTTTTTAACCGAATCGACGTACACCGTTTTCTCGACCGCATGGTTCCTCGACACGTCACGAAGGGCATTGAACATTTTGCGCGAAGAGGCTATTTTGGGGTCGATTTCTTTTGGGACGCCTAGAAAACCGGACCCTTCTCGAAAAGCGGAGCGCGGGGACTCGTTTCGATAAGGGGAGACGCTTCCACTTCGGTAGCGTCTCAAAGGGGAGTCTCGGGAAGAGAGGAGAGGGTAAGACGAGTCGTGAATGCTCGATTTATTTGTGATGTTGTTGGTGTCGTGGGGCCCACGGAGGTCTCTCGAGAGTTGACCCGAGTGGTACTTCTTTCTCGGAGGAGGGGTGAGCTGGCGGCCGTTCTGAAAGGGGGGTCGTTTCGTGTAGTTAGTTAGATGAAAGATGTTATTATAGACTAAACAGATAAAACGGTAAAACTCGAAATTTTACCTTGTCGAGAGGCCCACTAACCGCACTCCTCCTCAACCTCCTCTCGTCGCCGGACGTAGGAGTCGGGGGACGACTCTTCGACTTCATCGCCGGCAATGGGTTCAATAGACACATCGAACTCTTCACGCTGCATATGCGGGGGATAATTCCCCATTTCTTCCCCGGCTTCTTCACCAGCACACGACCGATCTTCTCATCTTCCTCATCGTCTTCACTCTCGCCATTATCAAAACCGTATCTCCCATAATACGGGATAATATTCTCGGCCGACCCGTATTTCCTCACGAGAGGCCTCGTAATAATCTCCCCCGACACGAAATTCTTCTTCACCTCCTTAACAACTTCCTCATCCTTACGCCCCACCACCGATGGCTTCTTCGCCACATACTGAGGCGTCTCGAGTACGACGACTGCTTTCGCGGCGGGCAAGAATCGACTCATCATGAAATCCCGCGTCTGTTTGTCGACCGAGAACGTTCCGGAAGGCCCATGGGACCCACTCACGCCGCTCACACTACACGACTCGTTTAGCGAAAGAGCGTTTATCGCATCGGAGTACGTGTCATCCTCCTCGTCGTGCTCGGTTTCGGAATTCTCGGACGACTCGTCGTCTCTGCACTTCAAGCTCTCGTCGAGCTTCTCGAGGAGTCTCGCGTGGTCGCTGAAGATGGTTTGTTCGGTCGGCCAGGTGGGCCCGGAGTTGAATTTGGACGGGCCGGATAGCCTATGGGCCGGGAGTTTAGGTAGCTCGCCCGAGTTGACTCGGCCCGGAGGGAGTTTGGGTGTGGTTGTGGTGGGAAAGCGGGCCTTGGGCTCGTATTTGGGCCGGCCCGGACTTCGCTCCCAATGGAAGGGGACGGAGCCCGGTTTGGTAATGTCCTCGGGTTCCGGGTCGGGTGGGGAGGAGACGGGCGGGGCCCGTTTTTCGACGGGTTTTCGAGGGGCGAGCTCGGAAGAGTTTCGGGGGGAAGAGTATCGCCTTGCGGAGAGAAGGGGTGCGTTGAAATCGAGCTGCCTTTTCTCCATTACTGATTTTAAATGTTATTTTCTTCTCTTATTTTCCTGGATGTGTAATCTGGCACCAGCATTCAAGAACACACACTATACACAATCAATAATCAGAATAAATTAAAGGTGTGTACACTGTTCAAGATGGAGAGAGAATTTATTCAGATCATCAGGAAAAGAACTTATTCATCAATGTTAATAGATATATGAAGGAAATCTGAAGAACTGAACTTTGAAAACAAAGAATGTCAAATGCTGGCCAAAAGAGAAGTTATGATGTTTCAGAATATTTTAACGGTTAACTAATCAGTATTGACACCAACATTCAAAGACCACACACACTACTCATAATCAAACAATCAGAACAAAGGGTGTAAATCGTTCAAGATAAAGATAATTCTTCGAACCAGAGAGAGAGAGACAGAGTATCTTCAGATCATCAGTAAAAGAAAACTATACATAAATGATGACAGATATATATGGACAGACATCTGAAGAACAGAACCAAGACTTCAACTTTCCACACAAAGAATGTCAAATGCAGAAAAAATCATGTATTTATCCTTCTATTACTCACCCATCAGATGAACTTCATAAGCAATAACTAATCACTGATTTTTGGTCAAATTGNCAAAACATAATCAGGAAAAATAAAGTAACAATTCAACACAATCCATTCACACCAAGAATTATATTCACCCAATAACCTGCAATCATACGCCCGTAATGAGATTTTTCCTCAAAAATCCAAGAAAGCCCACTATCATAAATGACTTGGCATGTCAAAAACCAAAAACAAATGCAGCCTTATCGCACTCCAAAGATGAAAGAACCAAGATGGGTTTTTTTTTTCAAAATCAAAAAATCTGAACTTTAATCCAAGAAAACACAAAAACAATTCATAAAATCCAGTCTTTAATTTCTTTGAAGTACCTGGGTCAGCAAGAAAGAGCAATTTTGAGTTCCTTCCCGCTAAATGTGGCAAAACTAATGTGAAAAATTTAGCAAAAAAAGGCAAAAAAGAAAAAAGGGGTCTAGAGAGAGAAAGGGGAAGAAAAAGACGACATGAGGAGTGGCATTGCTTGTGCTTTTTTTCTGCAGTTATAATGAATTGAGTATGTTTTGAGCCGCGCTGATTACTGAGGAGAGTGGACTGGAAAATTGAGAAGAATTTGTCTGTTGATTTTGGTAACATGGTGGGCCTGAATAATTACAAAAAAGGCCCATGGCCAATTTTCTTTCTATTTTTTTTCAACTTTATTTGTCATTTATTATTATTTTCCACTTTGTTTGGTATGGATGATTTGGTCCAGGGACAAATGTCACGGAGATACCGTTGGATTACAATGACGGTTGTAAATAAATCTCCAACCACTTTGCACTCGCGCCTTTTATTTTTTGCTTATTTTATTATAATATTTCAAAAGTTGCAAAAGTAAGTAAATTATGGGCCACAAAGGGACCAGACATGTAGCATGTGGCACTCTCCTAATGCAATTTTTCATTTACAAATTCTTGTTTGTGACGATTTAGTTATTCGGTGGGATCGATTTGTTAGGTATTTCTTTTATAAAAAGTCATATTTATAATATAAAATAACTTTATTTTGTTTTTTACACTATGAAATTTCAACTTGAAAGTATATATATACATCTTAACCATTAGACCTGTCTAACAATATTTTATTATTTTCTGTTTTGCAATTAAAAATGAAAATAACTTTACAATTGAATATAAGATTTTTTTTTAAAAAAAGAATTATGAGAAGAGAGATGAAAAGGTGAAAAAAAATTGAAACAAAAAGTGAGATAAATTCAAAATTCTAAATTAATATTAAACAAAAATATAATTTACTAAAGTTGATTTGATATATAAATAATAAAATATTAATTGATAAGCATTAGTAGTCAAACATATGTAAGTGGATTAATAGTATTTTTTAAGATTTTTAATTCATTTTTAATTTGAATGAGATAAATTTGACTGAAGAAATAAAATTAATTGTTTTATCAAAATGCTGATTTTTCTATTTAAGTTCTCATTTGGAGGATTTAAGAATTACTTTGTAAAATATTTTTTATTTTCATTTCTGTGGAAATTATTATTGCCTATGTCAATATTAAATATGGTCAGTAAGTTTCCAAAACATTTGCTGCGTAACGTGCGGACAATATCATTACGGAAACACATTCAAAGGGTTGATTTTTGAGGCCTAAATTAAAAGCTAGCAAACAAAAGATTTATTAAAATAAATAACTGTGTAATTGAAAATAATGTAAATCATCCTCTTGGTGTGGCCGATTGACTTTAAAGGCCATAAATCGAGACCAAGCCTAAAGGAAAATTAAATACACTGATTGTTGATTCTCCATAAAAGTCAATCGCCTACAATATCTTAATATATTGCATAATATTAATAATATATGTTATTATCTTTGGATTTGGTTCAAATTGTATACATTAAAGAAGATATTTTGTTTCACCCTCTTTGTTAATTATATGATCACGCACTTTTTCTGTTAATTTTTTAATTTATTATCATTGTGTTCTTTCTTTTCTTACAATTTCATTCATTTTGGTTGGATAGCGTGAGTTTGAATCTTGATTCTTGAGAAGTGATTATGCTTTCTTTAATGATTGAATCTTAATCTTAATTATAGTAAAATGATTAAAAAAACATAGGTTCACCCCATTATATCATTTTTATTACAAAGTATGAAAATAATCAAATGAAAGTAAGTATGATTTGAAGGAACAACACTTGTCTAAGACAGTGTAATTGCTACGCAGTTCGTTAATATTTTTAACAAAAATATATATTTAGAGTATTCACCATACTTTAAATCTTATATGACTTATAAATGTATATAAATCTTCAATCACATGAATAAAATCAAGTAAAAATAGTCAACTTCATTCTATGCATATAAATCAGGTTTCTACTTGTGTTTCTAAAATACTTGTGTCTCTATCTAGGTTTGATTGA